AAAAAAAAAAAAAAAAAAAGTCTTGGAAGGAATAATGGAAGGAAGGCTGTGTGTGTGTCCAGGCTCTGTAGGCAGTGCCGCCCACCCACTGTGTCCCGCTCTATGTTTCTTAGTGCTGACGGGACTCATGGCCTCCCTGAAGAGGGCTGTTCATTCAGTAGAAGGGGAGGTACTTTTCGAGCACCCTGAAGATGCCAACATGCTTCTCTACATAAATATTTTATAGCAGAACAAAAAATGTTAGCAGTGGTTTCCTCCTATTTAGATAAAGGCTGAGTTAAGTGCAGAGCCAGGAAACAGCAAATTAAAATGCTCGCACTATTGTGACCTTGAGACTGTCTCCCTTGACTCACCTTTCTCCATGTGCCAAAACTCTAAAGTGAGAACATTTAGTATTTACTCAATTTCTTGTCATTTAAAAAAAGTCACAGGATGTTTATTTTATGACATGGCATTGTATATAATGCCGCTGATAGATGTCATTCTGTGGGATCACAGTGTCATCTCACCAAGTGCAAGAGCAAACAGAATTATCTTATCTTCTAATGCATTTGTTGCTGACCTTCCTTGCCTGTTTGTCTTATAACTTAATTATATCCTTTTCCAAGCTGAGCCTCAAAGAGGCCTCCTTTTGTTCCTCAGTTTATTAAGCAAGTGGTAAACCTACCTTACATTTAGTGGTTTGTAGGCCAGATTTTGCCTTGCTCAGAAATTTCACTTTTCTATGGAAGGAGGAAAGCCTTTATCTTTCTGCCAAGTCTGTTGAAAATATAAAACAACTATTTGTTAGACGCTATTGTTTTAGTAACACACCCAACACAACCAAACCAAATATGTCAAATGTCTCCTGGTGGGATATTTGCTCTGGGGTTCTATACATATAAACTCATAGATTTTTGCTTCATTTGCATTTCTGATGAGATTGGTGCTTTTAGGGTGGTACGGCTGTAGACTTCATTTGCATTTCTATGATAATCTTGCTGGATTTATTTTTGTGGTGCCATTTAAATTGCATTACAGCCAAGAGTGGTGGCTTACATATGTAATCCTAGCCCTTTGGGAGACCGAGGCAAGAGCATTGCCTGAGCCAGGGGTTTGAGACCAGCCTGAGCAACCTGGCAAGACCTCATCTCTACAAGAAATCAAAACATTAGCTGGACATGGTGATACACGCCTGTAGTTCCAGCTATTTGGAAGACTGAGGCAGAAGGATTTCCTGAGCCCAGCAGGTTGAGGCTGCAGTAGCCATGAGCATGCCACTGCACTCCAGCCTGGGTGACAGAGTTAGACTTTCACTCAAAAAATTAAATGAATAAGCAAATTATATTATACAATTTCTGTAGTAGCTGCACTCCCATTTTTTGCAATGCAAAAGAGCAGAATGTATATTATTGTCCTTGTCTATTATAATAGAGAAGCTAATGTTTTATACTTTCAGAATAGCTGACATAAGAAGCAGTGTGTCAGTTATCTCCATTGCTATTAAAGCAGATTTTGCTATTCAAATTATAAAGAAAAATTTTTTCGGAACCCGTTCACCCTGATAGTGATAATGTCCTAGTAATAATGATTAGCACTGCAGACAATAAAAAGGAAATTTAAAAGGCTACAGATGTGACCTCAAAACTAAATTCATCACTACCTTGATGGGAGAAGGGAAGTCATTCTTAAATGATTTGAGAAAACTGAACACAAAAACGAAAGCAGATGATCAATTTTTAGATAAGCTTATGGGAATTCTAATAACAAAATGTTTTCTTGATTGGGTCACTGAGACTGTCCTGAAATGGAGTGTAAAATAAAAATTTATGAATTAGCCACTTTAATATGCTACCTTGGGAGATCTCTAAAACTCTCAATGAAGGTATTCAAAAATACAGTCTGTGTACCACAGATTTCAACATACTATGGTCAATTTCACTGTACTCTACCATGAATGAACACTTCCATGACTCAAGTCTCTCTTTACAGTGTGGGAAGTCTAAATACTATTGGAACTTGTTTGTCAGCTTTATAACATCTGTGCCTCGTGTATCTGCAAGCATACATTTATAGGCATATACCCTCCAGCACTCATTGCATACATAAATATGTTAATCTAGCTGTATATGCTGTGTCCTATAGAGAATAGCAAGGTGGGTGCCTTGACTTGGAAAAGTGGGTACCTTAGTACCTCAGTTCTCTGTTTGCAAACAATTCTTTTGACTTGTGCAGTTTTTTGCCACGTGTATATAACGGAGCACTCCTATGTCAGCGTGAAGGCAAAAGTTTCCAGCACAGCCCAGGAGATCCTGAAAATCGTGGCTGAAAAGATCCAGTATGCAGAAGAGGATCTGGCTCTGGTGACCATGTCGTTCTCTGGGGGTAAGTTATCTTCTGCCCTTGAATACTTATCTTTAGCTGGTTCTCCTCCGAAATTTTCGGAGAGAGTTGACATTTTTGTAGAGGAAATGTGCAGCTCATTGGTCCCTTCTGGGCCCTCAGCTGGACAGCCACAGTCACAATAAGAAGCTGCTACCAGAAGTGTTTCCATGACAACAGTTGAGTACTGTTGGATACTGAATTTTCTCCCCATGAACTGAATAGAGAGGCATGCCAGTGTTTTGAAATTCATTATAAAGCTTTTCATATTTTGTGCTCTAGATAAGCCTTCTATTTTCATATTTAAATTAACTTGGACAACTGCTAAAGAATGAAATTACTTTAGGGGGAAAAAAAGGTGGCCTTGAACTGGTCATGTTGCTGGCTGACAATTTAATAGTTAAAGACTCCCTGTTGGAAGACCAAGTATACAGTAGGCCGAAAGCTCACAAGGCAGTGTTCCTTCGGTTGGATGTGGGGAGTGAGGCCTGGTTACAGCTTCGCCTTCTGTCGGGCCTTATTTCTCCTCAGAGAATGGTTTATTGTCTGTTTTGAATAAGATCATGCAGATTACAAGCTGACACTATTGATCCATACAGCCTGAGCAGACCTTTTGGCTTTCACTGGAGCCTGTCATATCTCCATGTTGCCGGCCTCTTTTTTTGACTTGCATTCTTTATTTAATATCTCATTAACCCTGAGAAAAACACAAAGAAAGTGATTTAGCATCTGTAGTTGAAAAATGTGAGTATTATGTGAATTGACCAACCAGAGATGCAGACAGGAAAGGATAAATAACATTCCTATTTACAACTGCAGTTGGGAGATGAATAACAGAATATACTTGAGGTGAGAGTATTATGTGACATGATTTTACCCCTATTGCTGTGTTGCTCCCGGGACAGAAAAATGGTCCTACAAGCCAGTTGATTACAGAACCCTTCTCCGAAGACCTAATACATGAGAGCCTTTCCTCCCTTTCCCAGGGCTCTCATTGTACATCCTAGCAAGACATTATCTGGGAAAAAAAAGCAAGAATTTGAGAAACATGTGAGCTAAATAAATTTTAATCAGTCAGTGGCTGGATTTTTAATAATGTGTTTCAGACAGGAATGATAAATGTATATCATATTTAATTTTCAAGTGACCAGAAATAGAAAATGATTTTAAGTAGTGTTAAGCTTCATCAAGACTAACATGTGCCTCTCAGGATAGTACTACTACAGAAAGTAACCATAGGTTCTCCATCCAGACAAAAGATGCCAGAGAAGGAGGGTCCCTAAGTGAACTTTGCAGCACACCTGAGACCCATCTCCCTCCAAATCTAACTCAGAGTGAGCCCAGAGACTCACGAGACTCTGGTAATTAATGAGTGGCTCTTTCACTACCCAATATCTACTTGATGGCTGTGAAATATCATTTTCACACTCTATTAAGTTAGATTCATCAGGGTGGGCAATGGTGCTGTAATACGTATAGACCCATTGCTAATCATCACTAGAAATATCAGCTTATCTGTGGAATGACCCCACAGATTTGGAACTGTGCCGTCATTTTCCATTCATTATTTTTGTCTGGAAAGAACCTTTCTGCCTGTGTCTTATATCCCCCCAAACAATAATGTTTTAATGAAGAAAAAAAATATAGAACCTAGCACATTATTTGCTCTAGTTATATCATTTTTCAATAAATGATATTCTAATGTTACTTCAAAAAGAAATGATGATGAGAACTGTTTTTCTTTTTCTCAAAAAAAAAAAAGTTCTAAGATGTTGGAGATTTGGGGGATTTTTCTAAAAGGGGCCATACCATCATTCTAGCTGTTTTATACTCAGAATGGGCATGTATATGTAGTAACAGTAACCTACCCAGCTATTCAGAAGTTAAAATCCTATCAGTTTTCATCTTTTATAGTGGAGTGACAAACCTGGAAAATAAAATATTTTTCAGCAAATAGAAAAATTGCTGACAGAAAGCCATGGCATTTTATTCTATACAGCATGAATGGCTCTTATCCATTCAAACTGAAGGTATACATAGGCACACACAGGGCCACAGGAAATTACAGCTAAACTCAGAGGGAGCAGATGGAACCCAGAAGTGGGAACTTCAGAACCCAGAGCATGGGGCCATTGGCTACACGTGTCACTGGCCCAACATTACAGCACTATTGATCTTTACAATGCAGGGCCATAAAGAATATGTTAGCTTATCAGTTGTATACTCTGTATTCAGTAGAATTATTCAAAACAAGACTTTGCATTTGAACAGATAAAGTTATCCGAAAAAGGTATGTGGAATATTGTACTTCCCAGTCATGTTGGATAACTGAGCAGCTGCCTTGAGAAATTGATTGTGTCACAGTGAAATAAACTTCACTAGTACTTCAGTCTACTGTGTGTATTTTATTGTTTTAAAAGGGCATTTTTCTATGATGAGAACTATTGTGTTATTAGAGGGTTCCAAATGTAATAGAAAATGGTCAATGGATAGAATTAATTTGCAACAAGGGAGATAAAATAGAAGAGAAATGTGTAAATGATATTCAGCATCACTAGGCATCAAGAAACACAAGATGTACTGCGAATTTTTAGTTGTAGCAAAATAGCAAACTTACCAAAAGTAATGATTAGTGTTGGTCAGTGCACAAGTTTTATGCCTATTTTTAAGGTAGTTTATTGACTTATTTTCTAAAAAATAAAAATGAGAAAGCAATTTTGCAGTTTATATTAAAACATATTTATTCCCTTTGACCCAGTCATTCCATGACTGGGAATCTATGTTAAGAAAATCATCTGTGAACAGGCAAAGATTTACACACAAGGATGTTGACTTTAGCGATATCTGTAATGACTGCTATAATAATAGATCTCATTCATCAAGGCCTGCTATGTGCCAGGCCCTGAGCTGGTGCTTAGCATACATCATGCCACTTAATTTGTATGACCAAAAAAATTAGAAATCACCAACAATAGAGGAAAGATTAATGATGGTATAATGGACTGTTATATAATCAATTAAACATGACATATGTAAATAATTTTGGTATGTGGATAAGTACTTATAAAATCAGAATATAAAGTCATATATGGAATAATTATAAATGTATATGTGTAACCATAATTCTTATGCATGTATCTGCATAAATAAATGCAGTTATTTCTGTGTGCATACGCACACTTACATAAAGATCAGAACAAAAATATGCCCAAATATAATCAATGTTAACATCATATGGTTATCTTAGAAAAATGAATAGATTTTACTTTTTTTTTAATAGCTGTTTTGTGGTCTAAAGAATGACTAGGCTAGGCATGGTGGCTCATGCCTGTAATCCCTGCACTTTGGGAGGTGAAGGCGAAAGAATTGCCTGAGCTCACCTGTGGTTCCTGCTGCTAGGAAGGCTGAGGCAGAAGAATCACCTGAACTGAGCAGGTCAAGGCCGTGTGGCCATTAGCATGCTACTTTGCTCCAGCCTGGGTGACAGAGTGGGACTCTGACTCAAAAAAAAAAAAAAAAAAGACTAAATATTACAAGGAAGAAATACATGAGGACTCTACTTTTGGGGTGCTGAGTGGTACTGTGATACCATTGGTGTCATTGTATTGATCATGGAGAAGTGCATTAATCTACTCTAAGTCTGATTTGCTTTTAAATATTTTTCTTTGGCAAGTTTTACTTGTTAGAAATACTGTGTTATCCTACTGCTTATTCCTGTGTTTCTAATTACGCTTTTTTTTTTTTTTTAATAAAGAAAAGCATGAACTTCAGGCAAATGACTTGGCCATCTCTAAATCCTTCGAGGCATCTGGTCGGATATATGTCTACAGGAAAGACCTGGCTGACACTTTGGTAAGGACCTTTAGCCTTGTATTTAAATCACTCATACATGCAAATATCAGACTCAAAGCATATTTTCATATGTTTTATAATGAATATTAGAAAAAAAATATACTAAACAATTTCCTCCCTTGCCAAGGATATATTCTCACATAACATTATTTTTGCATGTCAAAGGGAGTCCCAACTTGAGAAATTCTAAGCTCCTAAGTAAAACTTTTCCTGAACTGAAATAAGGCAAGTGACTCCTTCATGGAATTTTAATTTTATATATATATATATATAGTTTAAAAGTACATATATATAATTAAAATATAAATATATATATATATATATTGGGGGGGCATGTATATTTGAAGATTAGGCTGAGAAATACGCCCTGGTTGTATATGGGGAAAGAGACTTTTGTTTCAACACCATGGCAAAATACATTGATCAGCCTTCCCAGTGTAAAATGGGTTCATAACAAGGGGATGTCAGATACCACTGAAGAGTAAGAGGCTAAAGAAGTGTAGAATCCATGCTTTAAGTTATTTCCAGTTCCAGATTTAAGAATGTCTTTGCCTAACTGGATGATCTCTTTGTTGTTGTCATGGTTAGTTTCTGACTAGCAGGACCAGGCCGCAGATCTGTCATCTAGAAAAAGTAGGCTCTAAGAGATTGTGACCGGGGCTAGACTCCAGGTTCTCATCTGTTTTCCTGGAGACATCCAATAATCCACAACTGAGAGAGGCTGGGTAACATTCCAGCTTCCTACAGCTAAGTAAGGGAGAGTGCTAGAATTTTCAGTTCACTTACGTTTGACTCTGAAGCCCCTGCATATTCCTCTCATTGGACATGAGGAGAAAGACAAGGAGAGGGAAACATTTACCTTACTTGAACCTCTCCTGTTCTTAAGCAGATCGCTGGGCCTGTGTAATTCCATCAGTGAAAATATGACAAATGGGTACTGCACAGTATTTTTGAGTAAATAATGAGATCATTTTGCCTCTTCCTCATGAAGGAAGATGGTCTAATATGTAGCTACTGTGGACCTCCTTGCAGTGGGAGAGAACCACACTCCAAGTGTCTTTCACGCCCTCCTCCCCAAGCCACACGTGACAAGGGCCACACTCTGTCTTCCATGCCCTCTTCCCCAAGCCACACGTGGCCTTCTTGTACTGTTCCCTTGTATGCATTCCAGGGCTCAGTCTACCACTGTCCCAGGCCAGCATCTGAAGAGAAGGCAGGCTGGGGCAATATCTTCATTAAATAAGTGGGTGCTTATGTTCCAAGAAGAGCCAGACTTCATCCTGTCCCCAAGTGTTTCCCCAACCAACTTTGGATACCACCTAAAATGTCCCCATTAGAATCATAGGTTTAGATATTTTATCTCCAAGACATGTCAGCTAAAACAGAGCACTATAAGAAAAGAATAACACATGAAACCACCAGTACCCTCTAGCACTTTCAACATGGATTAATCTTCTTAGAAAACAGGAATTAAAGTCATGAAGGAATGGGATGGAGAAATATAATGTTTCTAAGTGAGGGCAGTGGACAACCTGGAATGCAGTGCCAGGGTAGGGAACCCATGTAAGAACAAAAAACTGAGTAAAAATATTCTTACACCTCCAAGTTTTAAGCAGGTATTTCTGTTACTTCCCAAATCTGGTTCTTCCTTTGACAGTCTGTAGTGGGACCTATCTGGTCCCAGCCTCATCAGACCCATCCCTGAGAAACCTTGACTGTCCCTACCCTGCCCTTCCCAAAGTTGTAGCCTGTTCATTTGATCAGCGCTTTTTGAGCTCCACACTGTGTCCTACACTGGGGACACAGAGACAATTAGTACCTTGATCTGCTCCAAAGAGAATCAAGTCTTTGGGAAAGCTCTGTGAGGATTTTGAGTCACTCGTTTTTTGTTTGTTTGTTTTTAATTAGAAAGACTTTTCATAAATGTAAAACTTCTTCAATGAAAATAATTTATTTTTCAGTTTAGAAAGAGGAATTAATATTTTGCATCTATAATATTCCCTTTATTCTGCCATGTCACTTATTTTTGCAAAGGCCCTTTCTTTTTTAAGTCAGTAACCATTCAAGTCCCATTCCTCAAATGGGAGAATTTATATTTTAATTAGAAAATATCAAATATTTTGGAAAGATGCCAAGTAATTTTTAAAATCACTTTAGCAGTGACAATAGATTTAAAGTTGTGGTAGCATTTAATAATTTTATGTTGTGTTTTAAGGAAGTACCGTCACCAACCTCACGGTGGTTAGGCCCTATATATGTAGGGAAAGCAGTTGATACTTCAAATAGCCATCTACCATGGTGCATAAATGAAATAACTTTTGTTTTTGATTTCATGTTAAATTTTTTTCATTTTCCACAGGCATTTTAATAACATTTGTAAATGTGTGTCTGGGATGAGATTTGTTAAACATATTTCCTATAAAAGCCATGTCTGTCTTTATTGAAGTGCACCATGACATTTCTTTTGTTTGTTTTTATACTGACCCTGCTGGCACATTAATTCTTACCAGAAGCCAGAGTGATTTTGGGGCTTTCACTTTCATTATGCTGTCTGCCGGGGCAGCGTTTTATAATCAGATTTGTGCGTGCCTGTACGCATGGGGGGTTGGGAGGGGTGGGGGAAGGGCAGGCTAACTCAGCGAAGTATCATTGATCACATTCTGCTGTTTCCAAGACCGTTTCCTAAATTGGTTGTAACTCACTGAAGGTGAACCGACCAGGGAAAATATTAAGTGTACTCAGAAAAGATGACTTTTCTAATCTGGGCTTCTAGTGCCTTTCTACGGCCAGCCAATTCAGCACAGAACATTTGGGTACTACTGAGGATCCTTTTGCTTCTGTCTGTTGGTTTAGAACCCGTTTGCAGAAAATGAGGAATCACAGCAAAGGTCGATGAGGATTTTGGGAATGAACACTTGGGATCTTGCTCTGGAATTAATGAATTTTGATTGGAGTCTATTCAATTCAATTCACGAGGTAAGAAAGGAGCAAAGAGATAAAATGTGAATGCTGTTTTAACTGCCAGTTCTTTTTGAGGAATATCTGTGCGTGCGGCGATATTGTTACGCTGGGATAACATGGTCCAAAACATATTTGGGGCTTTGAATAGATTGAAAGACTGACCCAATCCTGGAAAAATCAGAACACGTGAGCCTGTTTTATTTGCTCCTAGTGTGATCATATGTTCATGTAACATAAAATAAATATGCTATATTTTATATGTAGAAACACATATGTGTGTGTATGTATATGTACTGAATATATGGTGCTCTAACAGGAATTAAAAACTATTTTACCTTTGATATTGTTATGTTCATTTTTCCATGAAGTGCACAGGAGTTGTACAAGAACCATATTTATATCTATGTGTGTATACATACACATTCATCTTTTTATTTAAGGACATTCTATAAATTTGGACTGTGCTGTAAGACTTTAAGTACTTTCTTGAATATTTGGGATATATTTCAAGTTTTTATGTCTATCACCTTCTCACTTGAGGACTGATTGTAACATTTATAAAACAGTAGACCAGGGGCAAAATGCTACTGACAATTAATGAGCAAATTGGGCCAGTGGAAAGGCTCACAGGAATCAAGAGATGACAAATGTTCAAGCCCCATGCAACCATATGTTGCCTTTGCCTTTCTATGCAGCAAAATTTTTCATTCTGATGATGGCCTTTGCCTTCTGAAGACGGAACCTCATGCCCGGTTGAAGGACCTTTAAGCTTTGCTTTCATTTTGGAATGTCTTAAATGTCCTCATATTTTCTCATTTAAAAATTTCAACATTATGATCTGAATTTGAGCAAGTAGTGAACTCATTCAGGCTAAATGACTATGTCTTTGGAAATGTTAATAGGTAGAATGTGTCCCTGCATATGTAGTGGGAAGAATGTGGATTACTTCAGTAAAATACACACACACACACACACACACTCTTTCTCTCTCTCTCTCTCTCTCTCATTTAAAAACAAATCTTTTTTATTGCTTTGCACGTAATCAGTCTGTGTAAATAGTTACTGGTCTTGTTTGCATTTGTGAGTTATTAGATCCTGCTCTAATGTCATTTTCTTTCATTTTATGGTTTGACGATCTCTTATATCAGTGGTTCTCAAAGAGCAGGTACCCAGACCAGCACCATCAGCACCACTTGGGAACTTGTTAGAAATGCAAGTACCTGCAGGATCAGAAATTCTAGGGGTGGGGCCCAGCAATCTGGGCTCTGATAGTACTCTAGGTGATTCTGACTCACACTAAAGTGGAAGACCATTGTCTTAGTGAATAGGCCTGTGAGGGTCCAATGGTGTGCCTTTACAAATGCCAACAGTGTTAGTGTTCATTTTCATTTGAATTTTTCAACATAGCAGTTTGAGAAGTTTGGGGATTTCATTTGGCCCGTGATTTACAACTTTAGGATATCTTAGATTTCTGTATCGAGATGTCTTCCTTACATTCTGAAAAATTACTTGTATATAAGGATTCTAGGTGAACAGTACTGGACAAGGCATTCAAATTATATATAAATTAATTTGAGCTGAATATATTTTTATGTGTTATATTATCTGTTAGGATATTAATGATATGTGAAGTTGCTCTTAAAAATGGACTGAATTTTGTATCACCTTGACTTTGCTGGGAATAAACCTTGGCATGGACGCATTTTCTTTCAGCAAGAGCTGATCTACTTCACATTCAGCAGACAGGGGAGCGGGGAGCACACCGCAAACCTCAGCCTTCTGCTCCAGAGGTGCAACGAGGTCCAGCTGTGGGTGGCCACGGAGATTCTGCTCTGCAGCCAACTGGGCAAGCGGGTGCAGTTGGTGAAAAAATTCATCAAAATCGCGGCCCAGTAAGTTTTCGGTGGTGAGAAGTGCTATTCCTCTGTCTCATTCAGAGAGTGCATTGTTTTTTGTTTCTTTTTTCCATTGTGATGATAAGAGTTGAAATGTCAAAGTATAATATTGAGTTAAGTGACCATGGTTAAAAGGCCTCTTCTTGAATATTTATGTCTTTGCATTTCAAGTGTTTATATCTTAAAGTAAATGTCAAGATACCAGATGGAAGCGCTGTGCTCTATGCTTCAGGACTAATAAGCAGGCAGAGCACATGCCCTTCAACCTGCAGCTGAACTACAGACTGACTGGGTAAGCTACAGGAGACTAGGAAAATGGGAGATGATGATGGGAGGAAGGGAGAATCAGTGCAACTTGAGTGCATCCTAGGATTCTGCCCATTGCTCTTTAATGCCACTAGTCTGAACTTTTGCAGACTCATTTGTTAGAAGACCCTGCACTGTCTGGTCCCACCTTACCTCTGAGCCTCACCTCCCTGTGCACTCTTTGCTCTAGCCACTCTGAATGTCTGTCTCTTTCCCAGGCACACCATTCTCCAAGCCTGGACATGTGTTGTTGGTTCTGTCTGCCAAGAGTGGCCACCTCCACCCAACAACAATTGGCTGTCATTCTTCAAGACCGCAGTCATGTGTTCCTTCCCTCCTAAAGTGATCCCTGGTTTTCACATGCAGGGTCAACTACTTCCCCTCCGTACACACATACTTTTTTTAATCTTTATACAGCTTCTTTATTATACAAGGGGAGGGGGTCCCAAAAAACCCAGAATTTATTTATAAAAAATTGTTTATTTATTCTTACATGTTTAAACTTCAGTCACCTTCAAAGTACTCTTCATTTCATGCAGTATACAAGATGCTTATTCCACTGCTCAAGACAGTTTTGGAACCCATCAATTTTGATGCCTTTTAGTGCTTCTGCCACCTTTTTTTCCACCTCTTCCATATCAGCAAAATGTTTCCTTTTGAGGACTTTTTTAATTCAGGGAAACAGAAAAAAGTCGCTTGGGGCAAGATCGGTTAATATGGAGGGTAGGACACAGAGTCATGTCGTTTTTGGTCAAAAACTGCTGAACACTCAGTGCAGGGTGGGCAGGCAAGTGGGTTGTCATGATGGAAGAATCAGTCACCTGTTTGCCCCAACCAGGACATGTCTTCCACAAATCATGACACAACCTTCTCAAAACTTCCAGATAAAAACTTTGGTTGACTGTCTAATTCGGAGGAACCAATTCCAAGTGTATTACAAAGGGTCCACCCTCCAAAAGATAATTCCAAATAAAAAATAAAAATAAATAAAAAATAAATTGCACTTGAAAAAAAAAAGATAATTCCAGGTTGTTTTTTTTTTAATCCTCCCTCATATTTTTCAAATTTATCTGTGGATGTAGGATTCCTTCACTGGGTTGTGTCAGCTTCCAAAGGACAGGAGGCATGCCTGATCAATCATTGTACCTGGGTGTCTGGTATAGAACTTGATGAACTGCAATGACTCAGTAAGCAATAGTTGCATGAGGTTTCAGTAACTCACTGGGAACATTTCTTAAAAGACCAAATTAGTACCCTCAGACTGTTCTTTGGACAGTTCCACAACAGAAATAGACAGCCTGAATCAAAATTTTCTTCAGTTCCTTTTGCCTCCCAGACTTCTCATTTTATTGCTTCTTTGTGTTTCACAGTAGTTTTTATAACAAACAGTTTTCAAGTGTATGCCAATGCAGTATATTCAGGAAATATATACTGATCACTTGTTATATGTGTAGATCCTGCAAGATAGTATGGGGAATTCAGATTGAGTCTATGCTCAATCCCTGCGAGTCTTCTGAGGGTGTATTTCCATAACACAGCTGGCTGCTGTGCAGATGCGAGGTGGACAATTAAGTATGCAAACTCATTCTAGAAAATGTACTACATACCTCACTGGTGAATATCACTATGGTCACCTTTGAAGTACTCCCCTTGGGAAGCTATGCACCGATGCCAGTTCCTAATCCACCCTTTTCAAAGCAATTTTGGAACTCTTTCTGGAATGACCATCAGAGTTGTCATAATATTACCCTTGATGTCCTTAATGACATCAAAATGTCTTTCTTTCAATATTTCCTTTATCTGTGGGTAAAGAAAAAAGTCACTGGGGGGCCAGATCAGGTGAGTAAGGAGGGTGTTCCAATACAGTTATTTGTTTAGGGGCTAAAAACTCCCTCACAGACAGTGCTGTGTGAGCTGGTGCAGAGCTCCTTAGGGACCATTTTAGCACATACCTTTCTCATACTAAGATTTCCAGTTAAGGTTTTCCCATTTCTCTATCAATGTTTATTTGGTCTGCTATGTTTCTTACAGTCAGCCAACGATTTGGATGCACAATTTGATGAATTTTTGCAATGTTTTTGTCAGTTCTGCTCATTACTGGCCATCCTGAACTCTCTTCATCAGTGACTCTTTCTCTCCCCTCAGAAAAATGCTTAATCCATTTGTACACTGCTGTTTTCTTCATGGCATTATCCCCATAAACTAGGACTAACATGCCCTGATTTCACTTCCACTCCTCCCAAGTTTAACAAGAAAGTTAATGTCTATGCATTGATCTAATTTAAGCTCCAACTTTCCTGTGACAGCACACAGAAACGTGTAATGACAATAATGATTGTCACTCAGCAAGACATCACCACCCATCAACACAAGCATAGCTGTGAGACACTGATATACCAAGGTTATGAAACTTTAGCAAGTTGTTTGTACAGTGCTACCAATGTAAGCATACAGTGGCTAGTTCATGAACTTAATTGTCAGACCTTGTAGAACACGAATGTTCTGTATTATGAGATCTAATTATGTTGGGGGCTTTAGTAGAAGAAAAGTTCATATCCTGAGGGTATGGGAAGCAGGATCAGGAAAACATTTGTGAAAGAGGTAGCATTTGAGGCTTCGTTTGAATTCTGGGAGTGATTTGACATGTAAGAGTTCAGAAGAGGTTGGGTACAGTGGCTCACACCTATAATCCCAGCTACTTGGGAGGCTGACGCAGGAGAATGACTTCATTCCAGGAGTTCTAGACCAGACTGGGCAACATGGTGAGGTAAAAAATCAGAAGAGCACAGTTTCTGCGGACAAAACACAAACACTCTGGAGACAGAGAAACAGAGCCTGTGATCAGGGAAGGTAACCTCACCAGATTTGGCAAGAGTGGCAGATACTTGTAAGGAAGTTGTGGGAGACTGATCTGCTGAGGAGCGTGGGGTCAACTGTGAAGGACCTTGCATTTCAGGTTGAAGCCTATAGACTGAATTGAGAAGGGAGGAGGGATTTTTTGAAAGTTTTGGGGCAAGATACTGACTTGATCAGAGTTGTCCTTCAGGAAGATTGATCTGAAAGTAGCACAAGGACTGAGTCGTAGGCAAGGAGACCCAGGGGCAGGATATTTTGTTTTCTTAGGCTAGAGGTCGTGGGAGTGCCTGCCCTAGTGCTTACTGTGACTGGGAATGGAAAGATATCGAGCAGATATGCCTGAATCTCATTGGACTGCATGTATGGTGAATGCTATTGCGCTCGCTCTCTCTCTCTCTCTCTCTCTCTCTCTCTCTCTTTGCCTGCATATTCCAAAATGGCCTGTGAAATTCCTGAAAGTGAAGCTCTTTCGGGTAAAAAAGCTTTCTTATAAATGCCAGTTACGTGGAGAAATGGGAAATTAATGTTCTAAGTAGTAAAATGACACCACCCAGCTCAGTTCCCACTATGAGATTATCTCTATCCTCAGGGAAATGAAATATATTCACCTCTTCCCCATATGGCCCTGTGCTCTTGAATTATTTATGGTACTGGTCTCTATCCCTAGCCCATGGAAGGGAATGCCAACAGAAACAGAAAGTCAAATTTCTTATAATCACACTAGTAGGAGTAACCAAGGGAAGATAGCAATTTCCACAATCATGAAGTGTTTTCCCTGCCTAAGGCATCCTATTTGCATATTCATGCTTCCCTCCTCCTCACCATCCCCATCCCCCACCTCTGTGGATTGAGTGGATTTTATTTCCTCACTCAGAGACAAAGGAGTGTTTGCCAAACTGGAATGTTGAGTGTCAGACAGTCTGCTCTTATCATGGAATGAATGACCCTTGGTAACAGAGGATTCCAGACTGGAATGGCATCTAATATTTGCACTGCATCAATTTGTCTTCTGCAGAAATTATGTCTATATTATTTCCTTTTTTTGAAAAACAGAGCTGGATGTCAGTGATACATGTGTTTTGTGTGTGTATGTGTGTGTGTGTGTGTGTGTGTGTGTGTGTGTGTGTATGTATTTTCCCTTAAATATGACTGAAAAAGCTATATGGATCAGGAAAATCATTTACGGGGAGGTAAAAGATAAAAAGCTGGAAACTATATCTAAGATCCCATGTAGATAAATGATGCTGAGAATAAAAAGAGGAATAATAAACTTTTATAATGATTACTAATAAAACCATTTCCTCAGAAGTTCTTGTTCTCACCTTCAGCAAATGTTGTTTGATGGACTTGCTGTGTGCTAAACAACTGGGTGATGGACAGAAAATAAAAATGAAATAGACATATATATATATACTCTAGCCTTAGGGGACCTTCTGTCTAGAAGGGAATGATGTAACTGTTGGGGCTTCCATCCTGTTGTAAGGTGGGAGGACTCAGGAGTAAGAGAGAGTGCAACTGAGTTGCTTCTAGCAGATGGATGGAACAGTTCTTACTGACAACAAGAGCCTCAGCAGACAAGCCTGGTATTTCAAAGCATCAAGTCAAGAGATGGTGCTACCTTAAGTCTGTTATGGCTGGTGTGAACTTTCAAGAGGTGCAGTGAGACAGAAGGGGCAGAATGCAGGAAGTGAGCATCAGGAGGGAGGTGGAGTCACAGTATTGAAGTCTTAGGCAGCAGTGATTCTCAAAAACAGGTGGGCTTTCAAATCATAAACCGGGAGTTACCATGTTTTTTATTCATGGAATAAACTGAGCAGAGTCTACCCAGGGGAAAGTTACCAAGAAACCAGGTAAGGGGTCCCTTGGACCGAGGTCAAGGGCCTCATGCCTACCAGAAGACTGTGGGCAGAGCCAAAGACTGGATAGGAGGACCATGAGAGGGACAGACCAGGCCTGGTAGAGGCTCAGCAGCAAGGTGCCTGTGGATGTGTGTTCACCCTGATACCTTTGACCCTAGGTGTAAAGGCAGCAGTGCCTTTCCAGGGTTCACTGTTACTGGGGCTAGAACTTCCAAAACACCCAGGCCTGAGCCTCCCTGGCTTGGAGCCCAGGCACAGCTGGACTCAGGCTGTACCCATGAAGCTGGCTGTGAGGACAGGCCAGTTCAAGCAAGGCCAGCCAGAGCACAGCCGCTGTAGATCTTCCTACTTAATTTAACACCCCACACCTTTTTCGGAGTTCCAAGCTAGACATTCTTAAATACTATCTGTATGACTAGAAATTGATATAGCTTTGGGGGACAGCGGTTTGTAATATGTGTCAAGCCATTTAAAAATCTTCATAGCTTTTGGCCAATCATGGAATGGCTGGAAGTCTAACTTAATGGGGGGAAAAAATCATAAGTACAGTAAAAAGTTACATATGCAAGCTATGCCTTGCAGCATTCTGTGTAACAGGGAGGAATAACAGAAATAACACAAATGTCAGCAGTAGAGGAATAAATACGTGGAATATATTCTTGATCTAATATCATGTAGCTGTTAATGATGATATTAAGGATAGCTGGGCTCGGTGGCTCAGCCTGTAATCCCGTGCCTCTGGGAGGCTGAGGTGAGTGAATTGCCTGAGCCCATGGGTTCGAAACCCGCCTGGGCAACTTGGCGAGACCTCATCTCTACAATAAATAAAAAATTAGCCAGGTGTGGTAGTGCATGCCTGTAGTTCCAGCTACTTGGAAGACTGAGGCGGAAGGATCTTCGGAGCCCAGCAGATCGAGGCTGCAGTGGCCGGGAGCGGCCACTGCACTCCAGTCTGGGTGACTGAGTGAGACTCCAACTAAAAAAAAAAAAATGATGATATTAGGGAATCCATAGTATATAACATAACATGGCATTTAACTGAAAAGGCAGCCTACAGAGTTGTACATACACTGTTCCCAAATTCCATGGGAGACGCTGGTGTGGATGTCATAGGAGAGATGGCCTCTGTGGAAGCTAAACTAACATCACTAGGTCCCTGTTAAGCACCGTGCTTATGGCTGAGTGCTTTCATACTTCTCATATTAAATTATGAGGAATTTCTTGATGTTAAAGGCTCACCTCAGAGAAGTTGTTCTCAATGCTCTCCAGGTAAAGACATGTCTGGAATTCACAGGCTGTTCTAACTGACCTGGAAGCCTACCCTCTGCTATTACAAGCCCTCTCAGCTAGCTTTGAAAGCGAGTAGAATGTTGATCAGTGAAGTCTCTGGGCATGATTGATGTAATGCAGAGCAGATAAGCTCATGGAGTGAATGGGGTGCCATGTGATCTTATTTTCATTTCATTTCCTTATTTCCTTAAGTGAGAAATGGGGGGCAGTATTCCCACTAATATATGCCATATTCTAAATGTATACATAATATAATAGCTATTTTGTTGGTAGCAAAGAAAAATGTGTCTAAATGTAATGGGAGGGGGAGGTTAGACCTGTGAGGCACGAGGGGCTTGTCTGTCAAAAAATGAAAACAGCATGTTGCTGAGGAAGCCGGAACTAGAGCATGTTTACAAGGAGTGGTGTGGTATATATAAAAAAAGAGTGCTCAGCTGACATAGTAAATGCACACAAAATAAGTAAAAATGCAGGAATCTTGTGAAATGTTGTGAAATGTCAGAATGGCACTAAGAACACACATCTTTTCTTGAAGGTCTGGAATCGTCTTTTGTGCTATAAACAGTTGAGGAGCAGTGAAGTTTACTGTTAGGTTAAAAATCCTAACAGGGAGCCTCCAAAATGTTAGGTCAGACCCACTGGGGTGGGGTTGTGTGATCTGGTGCCGCAAGAAAGTTGCAAAGAATTGCACAGAAGTTAGATTGGAAAATGTAGTTCATTTAGAAAGTAAATTAGAGAGAGAAAGAGGAGGAGGAAGCCAAAGCCAAGAAACATGGCAGCCATAGTTCAAAGAGCCACGTGGACACACCAGAGTTTTATAAAGCAATGGCAAATGGAGATAGAGAGAGAGGAGATTCACCTCTCTGAGGTAGGGGAGGGGGCCAAAGTTTAGTCTGGCCATGTGACTCAAAGAACACATGGCCAGACTATAGCTTAACAAGGCAATGGTAGGAAAGGGGGCCAAAGCTTAGGAAACAGGGCGGGGCAACCATTGCTCAAAAAATACATGGCCATACCAGAGTTTAGTAAAGCAATGGCGACTGGCTGCTTGGAATCAAATCCTTTAAAATTTTCTCTTTTATGAAGGAAGGTCATCAAAGTGATTGGGTAGTGGTCTGTTCCACGTCATCACAGAGGGCAGGTATGCATAGGTACTGAGGTCAGGTGATGGACAGCAGGCAAATGGGTGGGTTAGTGATGTGATTGTTGACATGGTAAGGGTCTGTCCGTGTCATGAAGGTCACGAAGGGCTGATTAGGTTAACTTGGGTCCTATGGTTGGAGGCAAATACTTGAAATTGAAAAGCTAATTAGTGCAAAACAAGCCGGGGAAGGGGTTGTAAAACAATTATCAATAGCTACCTCTGAGAAACCCATTCTGTCTTGGCTAGTGAATTAGAGGGCGTTAATTAAAGTGAACTGCTAGAAAAATATGACAAAGCTAAGCAGTGTTCAAATGGCTGCTCACTGGGTATATTGACTCCATGTTGTGTCCTTTCAGTTATGTAGGATATAGGGCAGAGTTCCTGAACACTGTGACCTTGGAGAGCTTTTCAGCTTTATCTTTTGTTTTTGTCCAGGGAAATGGCATTTCCTCAAGTGACCTCTGATTTCTTTTATTCCATAGCTGCAAAGCCCAGAGAAACCTGAATTCCTTCTTCGCTATCGTGATGGGTCTCAACACTGCCTCTGTTAGCCGTCTGTCACAGACCTGGGAGGTGAGTCTTGGGGGTTTCACAGGGGGTTGGGCTAGTGAAATTAAAATAAGCTCATTTAAGTGTTTTTCATGAGATAAGTACTATTAGGCTAAAAATGTTAAAAGTAATGTGTCAAGGTGGTAGGGACCATTTCAATCAAATGGTCTTTAAAATGCGTCTATGATATATATGAAAGAGAGAAGCTAGAATTAGTCTTTTATCTGTGCTCCCTGACAGCACAGCTCTAGTTCCAGGCTGGTCCCCTCACAGTCTCCCCTACAGGATGACGTGTGCTCAGAAGTGCATTTGCGGTGATGCTCATGAACCTGAGCTTCAGGGCCTCCCTTGCAGGGCCCCTGACAATGTGTTCACATGGATGATGTATATATTTTTGTAAAATTTGTGAAAGCAATGTTGTGTTCTTTTTCTTAAAGAGGACCCACAAAATCCGTGCTCTGCCTCTTTGTATGATGGAGGCTGTTTGGGTTGTGAGGTCCAGAGGCCCACTCAAATTGGCACGCGTTCTGGAGCCCCTAGGCTTAGCCAGGCACACATATTGGACTCTGCCTCTCCATCTCCTTCTTTCCTTGGGCTCTTGTTTCCTTCACCCTACTTTCCCTCCTGACTCTCCATACCTTTCTCTTAAAGCATCGTGTCTCTTCCTTTCTGGCTGTAGCCTGTGTGTGGCCCACTGTGGCCTCCTTAGCCTCTCTCAACGTCCTCTCAGATTTAGTTCCTGTCATTAACTCTGTCATTCTCTTCATGGTTCCAATTCAAACTCATACAAAAGAAAAGCTGATAGGCCAACTTTTTTTCTCTTAGTATAGATCTCTAGGTAGCCTGTGGATTCACTTTCTTTCAGACAGGGGCCATACCCTGATGGAATGCACTGAGATGACTGGAGGGTCAGAGTCAGGGCTCCTTAAAGGGGTTCAAAAGAAAATAAATGAAAGTCCCGCCTGCTCTGTCTAAACAAACAAGACGTTCACATGCATCCTCAGATTAAAGAGATGGGCGATCTTTGCCATGATTGATTAGAGCAGGAGGGAAACAAAGGTCTAGCGAGGGTTGGTGGGGAGTAAATTTGAACAAAACCTTGAAAGAAATTTTGATTCACAAAAATTGGGAGGAGAAATAATTCAATTAAATTCAAACAACTTGTGTTTAATGTGCATACTGACTGCCTGCAATGTGCAGGGCATTGCCATGGCGGACAGGAAATGGACTCATTAGAACAGAGCGAGCACATGAGGAAGGAAGTCTTGGACCAGGGCAGGGCAAGTGGAGAGACACATCCTGCCTCAGGGCAGCTGAGAAGCCTCAAGCAGCAAGACCTTGGAGGCTGAGCTGGGAGTCACTGGAGTGTGGGGCTGGGCATCGTGGGCAGAGATCACCATGAGATCACTAGATCTGGTGACTGGGTGAATGAAAAGTTATCACTCTATCCTAAATAGGCAATACAAGAAAAGAAGTAGTTTTGAGGAACTAGATCAGAGGTCAGCAAACCTCTTTGGAAAAGGGGCAGAGAGTAAATATTTTTAGGCTGTGCAGGCCATATGATCTCGGTTGCAGCTTCTGAACTCTGCCCTTGTAGCAGAGCGAGAGCAGCCATAGTGGGCATGGCAGTGATGAGTGCGCATGGCAGTCATCCAACAAAACGTGATTTACAAAAGCAGGAGATAGACCAGATCTGGTTCACAGCTGACCCCTGGAGCAGATTTTGAGGTGCCACTGAATATTCATGTGGGATGGCCAACAAACTAAGATATGCAGCTCAGAGGAAAGATTGGAATCACTTGTAGATTTCATGTCAACTAATTTGTCCTCCATTCATTGATGTATGTGTGTATGTGTTTGTATACATCACTCATTTCCAAATGGATGAAACCATGCATTTACTGTGATAAATTGAGTCCAGATTCAAAATTATCAAATCAAAAAACCCATTTCTAGACAATAAAGTCTAGTTATTGTGGGGTTTGCCTCATTATTTTGATTCATTATTAGAAACAGAAAATCTCACAGATCTCTTCTTGAGTATGTGAATAGCTGGCCTTTGTTAAGCACCAGCCATCAACTGTATACTTTTCAAGAGCTGTGTCTATATCCTCAGCAGAAGAGACAGATCCAAGAGCTTAGAGACTCACACCAAACCATACAGCTATGGGGCAGGAGCAGGGTTCAGACTCAGGCTGACTTCAAGTATGTGCAGTTAACCACAAAAGATTACTAAGTCAGTATAAAAGGCATCCAGTTTGTCACGTGTCTGTGTTAAGGCAGGCTGGAACATTCTGGGCCGTCTTCGTTACGTGTATATTTTGGGGGGAGGATGGCATATGTTTACAACATCTGTTGTATTTCCTGTCACCTGTTGATGAGCCTGAGCTTTACAATTCAGTAACTCCACCAATTAAAGTACAGACTTCTTCCTTTAAGTTTTCCCTGACCCTTCACTATTTAGTCCTCTGCAGTGAAATATAATTATATCAATTATATTAAAAATGTCCGCCAACATTATTATTTCCCACTCAGCAAGACTATTAAGAAGATGAGAGTATTCATCAAAAGTAGGATGTGGAACTGGACTCTTCACTTTTAAATAATCACCAGTATGTAGAATGTCTAACTAGCCAGACCCCTGAATCATGTGATTGTTATTTTAAACTGTTTTTAGCAACATTCCAAAGAAATGTTACATTAGAGGGATGATGAAAATTGTATAATGAGAAGAAATCAAGGTAGAACCAGATGATCGTTGTATTTATGATTAGAAATGCAGCATGGATAAGCACAACCCCGGTGAAAACTCCCTTTGGTTCCTCTCAAAATAACTGACTTCTGTGACCTCTTGCTGTTTGTTTTTTAGAAAATCCCTGGGAAATTTAAGAAACTTTTCTCTGAACTTGAAAGTTTAACAGTAAGTAGTTGACCCAAAGGAGACTTATTCTTCAAATTAATTGTGCAGGTCTTGTTGCTTTCTAGATTTCAGTGGTTGGTATCTGCACTTTGCGGTGTTCAGTGGCTTAGATGAGTTTACTTGCATATGACAATGTCACTTTGCTTCTCATGGAGTGAAGCGAGTTGATAGTTAATGCTTCTTCCTCTCTATGTAAAACGGTGGTGAAAGTAATCCTCTCAGTGTGATTTTTCAGGAGGCAGATTTTTAAGTGTAGTCCATTTCAAAGCCTACAAAATTAATCAAGTATAAATTCAGTGTGCAATTTGTGTCTCCTGCATTATTCTTTTCTCTTTTACTCTTTTTAAAATTTCTTAGGTTTGGACGCAAAATGTATAGGTTCTTTTTAGAATACAATAAAAAGCATTTTCTTGTTTTCTCTGCATTGTCTGCATTATGAGGGCACTTTTTCTTGGCGGTGCCTCTAACAAAAGACTTTGGAGTAACACATGATAGAAATTATGCGGAAGAAACTGTACTTAAAGAACCTATTTGAGGAAAATAATGGGGCAATCAAAAGGTGTCTCTCATTTGCAGTCATCTTCCATTATTGTAAACCAGTAACTGAGTCTCATTCATTACCCAGACTTCCTGCCCTAATTTAGTGAGTTTATTCTCCTAGGAAACCTTTCTCTACTTCATTCTTAGGAAGAGCCTCTCTATAGCTAAATCATGTTCAATTGTATAGCAAGAGAGGATTTTAAATTGTTTCTATAGCTTATTGATTTTTTCTTTCTCTACTTGGGTCGGCAGGATCCTTCCCTAAATCACAAAGCCTACAGAGATGCGTTCAAAAAGATGAAGTCACCGAAAATCCCTTTCATGCCCTTATTGCTTAAAGGTAATGATTTTTTGTATCTTTTATGCTTATCATCCTATCTTCCAGAAATGTATCCTTCTAACTATAGAGGGCTGCAAAGGGGCTCTCAGTGTATTTCTTTACAGTAATTTTGATATTCAGACCTAATTGTGTTTGCTTGCAATTGTTTTTCAAATGCCCGCTTATTTTTGAGATAACCTAGAATACTTAATAAAGTATTTTCACTTGACTCACAAAACTTGGTACTGGAAACTTGTGTTTTTCTTCAACTCTGCTTCTAAGCCTTGTATTATTTTGTCTACTATCCATTGAATTCAACCAAGAATAGGCCTGCATAAAGATCCCAAATGGTTATCAATCAGGCTCTGTGTTTGCAACCTAAATTCATAGCCCACAGTTTGCTGTTGTGTAAGTACCTTTGGGCAACACAAGCATTATAGAGTATAAAAATTATTGCTGGAGGCCAGACACAGTGGCTCACATCCTTAATCCCAGCACTTGGGGAAGCTGAGGCAGGAGGATCACTTGAGGCCAAGAGTTCAAGACCAGCCTAGGCAACAAAGGGAGACCTGGACTCCACAAGAAATTAAAAAATTAGCCAGGCGTGGTAGCACATGCCTATAGTCCTAGCTACTTGGAAGGCTGAAGCAGGAGGATCACTGCAGTGAGTCATGATCATGCCACTGCACTCCAGTCTGGGTGACAGAGTGAAACTCTGACTCAAAAAAGAAAAGAAAATTATTGGTGGTGAATGAACTTTCTTCTTTCAAGGAGTGGAATCTGTTGGGAAGTTATCTGACAGCTCCAGGTCAGTCCACTTACCTTTCTTCTGTAGAGCACCAAATAATTCATCATGAAGCTTGAAGTTAAATTTATTGATGAGATCTCAGTGTTCTGTCTTTCAAACTAAGGGGATTAATAAAAGGAAACTCTTTTTATTAAACTCTGGCCTAGTCTCCTGACATTCAGTGTATGTCTTTACCTGTGTTCTTTCCAGGGAAGAGGAATGTGGGCATTATCCTTGGCCATATTTTGAATCCCGTAAGGGGTTTTGTTGGAATAATCCCGCATCCAGCCTCTGCTCTTCAGAGGCCTGTAACTTATGCCCAGGTCAGACCCCGATGACTGGGCTCGTAAATGTGATTCTGGAAAATGATCTGCATGGGAGCTGGATTGCTGATTGGCCTTGCCATCCTCATTCTGCATCTTCTCCCATTGCCATCCTCACCCCCTCCAACTCCTACACCTCCACATCCCTGGCAATAAAACTGGCCTTCCCTCTTCAGCCTCTCTCTAGAACAGCCAGAGCTTAGAGAATTACTGTGAGTTGTTATGCATCCCTGCAGCTACTCATTTAGTCTTCATCAAATATGAAACAAGAATCTCTGTGAAACAAGAGGATAATACTAGGACGATGGAGAGATGCACGGATGCTTCACTCAGGCTGAAAAGATTCCGTTAAATATAAGTGGATGAAATAAAGAAAGGCTGTAATGTCCAAATACCAATTTAAAAGTTTATTTGATTCTTTGTATTGATTTGCTCTTAAGCTACGTTTATTCAAGCTTAGGCTTTCTATTTGCAAAATAAAATGCCTTCAACTGGAGGCTGAGGTGGTAGGTGGGAAGTAACACTTAGAATCATTTAGACACAAAGACACAAATAAAGTCAATAGAAAATGAGGCCAGGTATCAGAAAGGAATAGATTTTAAGAAGAAAAAATTTTGAAACAATAAATGTGTTTAAGGTAATGAGGAATTCGTTGACAATCTTTCTTTAACTTAATTAGATATGAGCAGTGTTTTCTGCTATATATCAGTGTTTTTTTCCCAAAATATTTAATATAGTCAAGTGTCTTGCACATCTTAGCTTGGATACAATTTTCTGCTCTACTGAGTTTATCTAGACCTTTTTGTTGGCAGCAAGACAAATGTCCCTTTTTTTTACTTGAAAATACATTCACCCATTCCAAAAGAACAAGAACATTAAACATTTTTTTCCTTTTTTTTTCTTTTTTTTTAGTTGGATTCTCACTCAGTCGCCCAGACTGGAGTGCAGTGGCCGCTCCCGGCCACCGCAGCCTCAACCTGCTGGGCTCCGGGGATCCTTCCGCCTCAGCCGTCCAAACAGCTGGAACTAGAGGCGTGCGCTACCATGCCCGGTTCATTTTTGATTTATTGTAGAGATGAGGTCTCGCCAAGTTGCCCAGGTGGGTCTCAAACCCATGGGCTCTGGCAATCCACTCACCTCAGCCTCCCAAAGGCACAGGATTACAGGCTGAGCCACCGAGCCTGGCTTATTTTTTTCCTTTTGTATTATAGGCCTTCTTGAGTTTAAATAAGCACTTATTTTTTTTCTTAATCTTTTTTTTTGTCATTATAAAAATAAACAGTAGTCCACTGTATTTAAAGTTACTGTTTTTGTCTGAAATAATTTCCAAGGAAAATAGGAGGAGAATTAAATATATTAATACAAATAGGATGAGACAATATACATATCATGCCTGAGATGGGACATTAGGGCAAAAATATACCACATGAATTCTTAGGGTTTTTTTTTTAAGTTGCGATGAACTGCTTTCTAGCCAGCTTAATTGTTAATGAAAGCTCTTGTTCCTCCCTCCTGTATCTCCTGCTTTGAGTCACTTTTAATTAGGGACATAGGGCTAAATTGAACTCCTTGGGTTCTGAGGAAGGATTAGGCCTTCCACATTTCGTTTTTTGAAATCGTCAAATCCCAGTAAACCAGCAGATTATCAAGTAAGTGGATTACCTGAGGATCCTCCAGGCATCCTCCTTCCCAGTTGAATGTCTTACCTTTTGATGTACTTCCCCCAACTGTGGTACAGAATCCTGGTCAGAAAGGGATAAATGGGAAACCCTAAGTGAGTTTTGGGGGAGAGACCCCCCCACCCAGCTAAGGATCAAATAAGGCTGAGCCGAGTATATCATGTACCACTTGCTGTTTTCGGAGACGGTCATCCCTTGCGTTGGCGTGATAATCAAGGGGTGTCTGAGGATAAATGGGGTCCTTATGGTGAGCTGTGTATGTGTCCCAGCATGGAGCTCATCATTGCAGATTTATGTGGGTATTGAAAAGAAAAGAATGTTGGAATGCTTGTGCATTTCTTCCCCTTCTTCTACTTGCTGTCCCTTCAAAGTGTCATTTAATCTGACAGTCCTGTTGGGTGAGGCATTTGGAGTGTGTTCAGGTGTCTCCAGGCCAAAGGGCCCAGGCGTTCACTCATTTCCCATGTCCTGAAACTACGTTCTGTCCCATGACTTCAGTTCTGACATCCCAGTTTCTGAGCTCAACCACCTGTGCATTTCTCTCTCACGCCTTCCTCCTCTCACACCTGCTGTTATTCAGCTGCATCACAACCTTCTGCCACTCAAATCCTTTCTCTTCTCCTCTCCTTCCAGCCTCTCTCCCCTCCCACGTGGCCAGACGCCTTGGCCATCACCAAGCTGCCTGTTCACCAGCCCCCTGGACTTTTCCCCTGCCTTATTCTTATACCAGCACCCTCTGACAAGCCCGCACCTCTCAGCAGAGCAGCCTGTCAGCTGGCCTCATGGAGTCCTTGAGAGCAAAGAGGAGGAGGGACCACCCCCCTCAGGTGGAGGAGAGATTTAAGGCAGGAGGGAATAGTGGAGAGAGTGATGAGGGAAGCACTTTAGACTCTGCAGAGGCAACTATGTGTCATAAGTTGAGCAGGTTGACTGCAACTGGTAGTAAGGCAAGTCCAAGCCCTTTCAGTTTGAAGCTTCTGGAGAGGCTGGTGTGAAGAGAACCAGCCTCAGGGAGTCAGAATCCTGGCTCTGACGCGTGTATGGGTCAGCTGTATATATACTTTGAGCCCTAGTTTTTGCACATGCTTACCTCCTAGGGGTTACCTTATAGTCTTCTTTGAGGATTAAATGAGTTAATGCAGAAAAAGCACTTAGAGCCATGTCTGACCCTGTTCATAAGGGTAAGCTGTCATTACTGTCACTGCCCTCAGCATCATCCTTAGGAGGAATGGGCCAGGAGGGAAGACGATAAACTTTGTGACTCTGAGGAAACAGACCAGGTCACTCTGAAGGGGCATTTGAACTCTGGAATTCTCCAAAAGTATGTGGAGCCTAGGCTTTTAGGTGCGGTTTAATGTAGATCAAATACACACGGTGTTTTATTTGCTTTACAAAAAGGGTAAAAACTAACTGTGTGGACTTTTCCTTTCTAAATATTGTGTCACAAAATGGAAGCTTGCAATTATTTTTTGAAAGCAAAATTGCAAAGATAAAATAACCAGAGAGTTTGTCAGAGGCTGTGTCATTAATCATGAATCATTTTCCTATTAGGACATTAGTTGAAAAGGAAAAACAAAAGGGAAAAAAAGCTCATGAAAACATTGCCGTCCACGCTGGAAACTGTGTTTAATAGACTCCCTAGGCCGGACTCAGTGGTTCATGCCTGTAATCCCAGCACTTTGGGAGGCCGAGGCAGGAGGATTGCTTGAGGCTAGTAGTTCCTGACCAGCCTGGGCAACCTAGGGAGTCCCTGTCTCTACAAAAAATGAAACAGACAAACAAAAAAAAATAGAAACCTTGAGGAAAGGATTATATCAACATGGGCTGTAACTGTGTAACTGGTGTTGCCTCCTGGTGGCAGTCTAAACCTGGTGGCCCAGTGTTTGGGAGGCAGATTTTAAGAGCACTTATCTCATAATTAGCCCTTAGAGAACAACAGAATAAAATCTTGATTAAATGCAAATGCTTTCCCGCTCTCTTTATAGGAGTGTTTAAGCTGTTCTTTGCCCTCTTTTCATACATGTTATTTTAACACAATTTTTAAAGGTTGTTGGTATCTGGTTCGTCCTCCATGTCTGTGACATAACATGATTATATGAACACTCTTTAAATATGGTACATTTCTTCTGTGATCCTTGTCTGTGATGATTCCCTGATGCTCAGTCATGGACCCTCTGATCTGAGATTGGATAAATCATCACCTCTCAGCACCTCAGCTGCTTCCTCTAGTGTAACTAATTCCCAATACCTGGATCTCTTTGTTTATTGCATCCAAAAAATTGTGTGTGTGTGTGTGTGTTGGATTCTCACTCTGTCGCTCAAGCTAGAGTGCAGTGCATGGCTCACTGCAGCCTCGGCCTCCTGGGTTCAGGCAATCCTTTTGCCTCAGGCTTCCCAGTAGCTGGGACTACAGGTTTGTACCACCATGCCTAGCTATCTTTTCTTTCTTTCCTTCTTTCTTTCTTTCTTTCTTTCTTTCTTTCTTTCTTTCTTTCTTTCTTTCTTTCTTTCTTTCTTTCTTTCTCCTTCCTTCTTTCTTTCTTTTCTTTTCTTTCTTTTCTTTCTTTTCTTTCTTTTCTCTCTCTCTCTCTCTCTCTCTCTCTCTCTCTCTCTCTCTCTCTTCTTCAGACATGAGGTCTTGCTATGTTGCATAATCTAGTCTTAAACTCCTGGCCTCAAATGTAAAACCTCAAAAACCAACTGGGCATGGTGGCATGCACC